CCCCCCCCCTTGCCTTATAAACGTTGCACCCTAAAATTTGTCCTACAAGATATGTACTTTCTGTTCATATACAAGGTACGTGCCTTGTTTTCGGGTTAAGACGGTAGTTTTGAGAAGGCATAGACTTGAATTGGCTCCACAAAGAAGTTAAGTGATCCTTTAAATCATGAACATATCGGTCTCTTGTCTCCATTACCGCGAAAATAATATTAGTTTTACTTAACTTTAATCTCAACAGAGTTACGCCTCTTTTAGTGAAGTACTCTCCAAGGATAATTTAACAATACTTTGAGCATAAAACTAACCCACCAATCTGATGTTCGCTTCAACTTAATATAGTGAGATCAATCTTATTGACAGTGTAACATACTATCACCAGGCGTCTTTGCTCCCTGCTCTTTACGAAAAGAATAACTAACCGCCACTTTTTGGGCGTCGTTTAGTGATGTGAGTCTTTTTTGACCTACGACCAGGTTCCTTGGAGAAGGCACATGTCTCTGATACCTTCAACTCAATTGTCACCCAACATTCATCCCTCAGATTATCAATCACATGGAAGATAAAAACATAAGGAGATATCAATTTTATACCACAATCCCGAGGTGGGAAGCAAGCTACCTTTCAAAAAAACTAGCCAATATATTAAGGTGACTTGCTTTATTAAGTTCAACCTCTTCGGAACGTTGTCGGGCGCATCGGTCCGTCACCGCACGGGGCCAGCGCGGGACCCTCCTGACCTCGTCATGCAGGAGTTGTTTTTTAGAACCCTTCGTCGCAATATACATGGAGCTTCCACAAGCCGCTCCGGCCAGGTGCGCCAGCCATACCTCTCGCGAGCCCCTACGACAGGATAGGGCCTACGCGAGGCACGACTGCGTTGATCACCGGCCACTGGCGGCTTGCTTCCCCATGACACAATTGCGTTGATCACCGGCCAGGGCCACTGTCCATAGGAGGGCGCCCCACCTTGCGAGGGGCCCGTAGTAGATGATGGAGCCGCCATATTTAAAGGGGCTGCTGCCTGGGCCTGATGCGCCTGCGCTTTTCCTGATCCCTGTCCGCCCTGCGCCAAATTACGCACTTTGCGCTGGACCTTCGTCAGGTGCAACGGTACGAGCTCTTCCTCTTCCCAGAGCTCCTCCTGACCAGCGTCCTCTATCACTGACTCTTTTCCTTTTACTTTGACAGTCGTCACCACCTTCCTTTGCACCACTGGCTCAGTCGCATACCCTAGCTGTGCCAATA